TGATTTTCAAGCTTCGGTAGATAAAAGGTTTCTTTTATATTGTTTTTTTTTCTTTTTTGCATTAAATAGGTAAAATTGCTGAAGTAGAAGCTTACGGAGAGAAATAAATAAATTTGGTAGTTTCACTTACATATTTCTAGTGTTAACATAATAGAAAGGTAGTTTCACTAAAATATTTTTAATTTAAATATTTCTTTAATGTTACTACGATTTGCTGAAAACCATTTTTAATGTAGTTATTTTTGGTAAACAAACTTTTTTCTTACTTAAAAAAAATTAAGAAGAATTGACTTCTAACTAATTACTTTTAGATTGTCACTAATCAGCACTTTTAGTGCATATGACTGATGTAAATAATTATTGGTTTAGCTATAAAAGCATTTTGAAAATCTGTATTTATGCCTGAAATATATTTGCCTTTGCTATTTTTAGAATTAGTTTTATTAATATTTGTAGAAAAATAACTTATTATAAAAAAAATTGCTGATTTTTCTTTCGTGGAATTGTTCTAATCCCACTTTAATTTATTTATAATTTTTTTTACTATTTTAAATCTTGCTAATAAGATTTAAAATTACTAGAGTAGCATTTTACATAAAGCTGGTTCTGTTAAAGTAATTAGTATTGGTCATTTACTACCAAAAAAAAAGTTGAAATTTCTAATTAAAAATCTAGACAAATAATATCAAACTACATAATTTACTTAAACGTTTGGATAAAGTAAAATTTCATGTTATTACTACGTTTAAGCAATAAGATTAATAATGAAATAGATTACGTTTATTTTTCATTTATCCCATGAACAGGAATGTACCAATGCTTGTAATAAGGTTTCTAAGTACCTGTACTACTCCAGGAACTCACCACCTAATGAACTGTTGCGTCTGCTGAGATGTATGATCGAGGATCTTAATACGTCACAAAAAATTCTATAAGACTCTCGATCATTAGAGTAATTTCACTATAAACAGAGAATTATACCGTAAAATTTTGAGGATATGGAGAAAAAAAAGCATGGTCACAACTACCAATATATTTTCCGTGAGTAATTTTTACCTTCAATGAAATATTCTTATTTGAAAATTTAACTGACGACAAGAACATCAGACCAATAGCAGCATACTATTGCAGTGATGCATCATATTCCCGACATCACTAGCATAGACATAACCTCATTTTCATCTTATCAGCTTAGCTAAAGTTCATACTTTTGCAATATAGTCTTATCAACCTACAGCACATCTGAATCTACTGAGTTTGAACCTCAATGGTCCACATGAATACTCCTTTACTTCATTTGCATTCCACAACCTCATCGAAGCACTACAGTGATCAAGCTAAAGATTAATGGTAGAAGGGCCGCAAGTGGCCTCTGGTGTTCAGATATTTTATACAGTTTAAGTTTTAAGTAATTTTTACCGAAACGCTTCGGTAATGTATTCGGAAAAATTAACGATAAAATATGGTTTTATAATGTTTCGTGAAATTTGAAATTTTATCATAATACTTTAGAGCACAGCTTCATCATTTATTCGGTTAAATTTACTTTTCAATTTTATATTTTCTTTGTTAAATGTGGGGTAATAAGAGCTATAATTTTGAAACCTAGAATCTTTTTTAAACCGTTTCCACATGAAAGGAAAAATTACGAAAGGAAAGATTTATTATACTTTTATGGATTCTTTTATGTGAATAAAATTACTTTTATGGCTTCACATTAGTACTAATATATTTTTAGCATAGGTGCATATTTTCTTTGCAGTCATTTTTTTTTCAAAAACAACAATTTTCTAAAAAAAAAGAATTATTTTATAAGAGGCACGACAAATTTCAGTTTTAAAAATGAAATGTTTTAAAACAACTATTAGTTTTAGCCGTTAAATTCGATACACTTATTTATGATTTAGATTCGATCCCCGAGATTGTCTTTTAATTTAACATTATATCCTGCGTTTCAAGCTACAAAATCCCCCAAAGGAGCCTAAATGATCTAAAGTGCAACCCAATGCCCAAATGCATCAAACCACTTTTATCATACTTTTAGTCTGAATACAAACTCACAGCTTTATTCTCAATAAATGCCTGGAAGCCATGAACGTAAACAGAGAAAGGACATTTGAGAAAACGTCTCACGGGCCTGAATGTTTGGTAACAATTCTTTTTTTCTGCAGAAATAAAGTAAATGCTAAAGAGAGTAAGAAAAGTGATCTGTTTTGGTGGTCTATTTTTGAAAAAAAATTTCATTGATTGATGGATAGTTATAAGTGACAATACCTAGATGTGCCAACTTATATCCTTATAGTTTGACTTGGTGGTCTGTTTTATTGACTTGCGGCTTAGATAAGTTAATAAGAAAGAAGCTTAAAGATCTACTAATACTGCTAACTGTATTAATTTTTTTCATGAAAAATATAAATGATCTATTTCAACAAATAAGTATTTGAGTAGGAAAGATTTATTTTTTTCTTATAAGGAATGTGATCTTACTGCAAAAATATTAATAATGTTTTATTTGGGAAATTTCTTAAATGATACACGGAAAAAATTTTTTTTGATAAAACTACCGTATTGTAAAGTAATGATAATTCTGGTAAAAAAAAATGAAAAAATAAAATAAAAAACGTAATTCTGGTTAAACCAAAATATACGGTATTTAAACCATCTATTTTGTACTTTTTTCCTGCATATGGTAACAGTTAACAAGAAATTTTGTTTTTCAAAACCATTTACCACACATTTAGTAAAAAATACAAAACTAAAAAGTAAATTTATCTAAATAAATGGTTTTTATGCTTTGCTCTATGTTATCGTGATAAAATTAACAAATTTTACCATATTAATATTTTATTGTAAATTTTACAAAAATCCTTACAAAAGTGCTCGTAAAAATTACAGAGGTTTTGGGTATTCCAATAAAGCCAGAAACACTGCAAATTTTACCATATTTTGGTTGCTTTGACCATAATTTTTTTCTCAATGCAGGAGGTGTCTAGAATATTGTAAGCCTTATTATATAATACCAACATCCATAGAGATTACACACAATCAACAGATTAAAATATATTACTCTCAAAAGGTTTAAAATAAACAAAAAAGCTTTAATGTTCAAACATTACAAGTCAACAGTTTTCAACTCTTCTCGGTTTGAAAGATGAGATAGGTCCGAAAAGGATTTTTTGGAGGATGTTTCGGTTTCTTTCGTCACTTTGTAGCAATTAAAATTCACAATTAAAAGTTAAAAGAACAACAACCAAATTATCTTCATTTCATTTATTGGTAACGGATTCATTCTAGTAATTTACTTATTCACTAGAGGTAGTTAGATGGATGTTAAAGTCGAGCTAAGCTTCTCCACATAAAATAGAATGTCAATTAACATGAAGTTAATTTACAACATCGCATGGCGCATAATGCTTTCTCGTCCGTGTATTTTTCTTAATTTAGATTTATTATTTGTTTGTGTATTTTAATATAGCCATAATATATTTCTGTTTTGAGCACCTTGCAATTTCGATGCATAATTAGTTTATGTTATAATTGGCTCTGTACCTATCTTTGTGTTAAGTAAAAAATATATGGAAAAAAAAATTTTGTGAAAGAATCTTTATGAAAGAATATTGAACATGTCACAGGAGAGAATTGATACTTGACGGGATGGGCTTACTTGAAATAGAATGGAAAGAACAGTTTCTAACATAAACAAATGCCACGTTTCAACAACCAATCTGGATCGAGATAAACACACTATGTCTCTTTCAGATATCCCATTGTGAGTTTTTAAAAGCTTTCAAAAGTAGATTGAATATTGTTTAATGAGAATTATGGGTGATGAGTAAAAATATTTGGCATCAAGTAATATTTGGTATGAATAAAATTATTTGGCACTCATGGCATCAAAATATTTCAGGCGTAGATGCATGCTTACATTTTTTAACATCATATTAATCAATTCAATGCTTTAAGTGGGAGACCTCGCTATCACATTTCCAGATTTCTTTGTGTTTCCCTCAATTTAAGAGTAATAATAATACTTGCGTAAATGCAATCAGGAAAGAGTTACAGTAAATCATAATTGTAAATTCCGCTTGTTTACTCAAAAACATATCTGTGAATATCTATTTTATGACTTTATGTTGATATGCTCTCCCCTATTATACTTGACCAACTACGATCGAAAATTTGAAACTCATTTTAATGTGGCATATTACTATACATTTTTGCAGATTATCCCAATTTCACCGTAAATCTGAACAATATATTTGTTAGTTTTTATTAAATATCCTTCAATTCGATATCATTTGCCACATAAGACTTTTAGGCATATTAATAAAACGAATATTAAAAAGAGACACATTCTAACCAACAAGAAGTCACTAAACTTTTTCATAATTAAGAACATTGAATATATAATTACATATTTTCAAATTTGACACTTTGAAAAAATGTATATTCAAAACTACAAGAATATAGTAAAATTTACTGGAATTCTGGTGCTATGGGAGCACTGAAAAGTTTAGTAGTTTGCAACGAAGCGCTTTGCTAATGATTTTAGTAAAATTAGAAATAAAATATTATTTTATAGTTGAGATTAAATTTGATAATTTTATCACCTTAGAATATGGCATAAAAACCATTTATTCGGTTAAAATTTACTTCTCGATTTAGTATTTTTTTACTAAATGTGATGTAATGAAGACTACAATTTTGTAAAACCAGAATTTCCATGGAAAAATTACCAAATGAATGGTTTAAATACCGCCTATTTTGGTTTTTATTAACAAAAATGCCATTAACATACAGTACGGTGATTTTACCAGAATTTTTTTTCTCCGTGTAGTGCTGACTAATGATATAGAATGTTTTTCTTTGAAGAGAACAATCGACGCATCTGAAGGTGCGCTGTCCGGGAACTCTTAACTGTAAACGGAATGACATTTTTAAGCAATGATAGCATGACAGCATGTGATGTTCATGCATAATTTTGTGTACCTATTTATATGCTTAAGCAACACCTGCTGAAAGAAAAGCTGACCAGAAATTCTTTCGATTAAGATAGACGTTGCAGAGTGTTAGAGAGATATTAAAGTTTTTTAATAGCAAGTAACTGATTTAAACAAAACTGGATTATAATGAAATATTTTCTTCGACTATCATGTTTTGCTTTCATGTTCGGAATCTATCTCGCTTATAATGACTTGTGTGAGTAAATATACATTTTATTTCATTCGAACTTTTATCTAATTCGATATCATAATCGAAAACATTTGGAAAAAAATTTTTGTTCTAGACGTAGTCAACTTAACTAAAAGAATTATAGCATGATGCATTAAAATATTTAATAATGATGATTTATTAATAAATTTATAATTTTTTCACAAATAATGACGATAAAAAGGTTTAAAAAAATTATTGTAAAATATAGTCGTTTAAAAAATTTGAAATACAATAGGAAGAATTGAGGGACAAGTACTTATCCATTATTGCCTCAATTTGTGCAAACGAATTTTAGTTTACTGGTGGTCCAAACATGAAAATCATATCGAGGCTAATTTTTTGCACATTTTTTGAGATTAATGTTATATTTGTTTTATTGAAAATATATTAGAGGTAATTAAAATTAAAATTGGATAAATATTTTTTTTATTAATGGACATCATAAAATATTTTAATGTTCTGTGTTGTTTTCTAATTAGCATACTATAGTTACAAATCATGTTCACAATAGTCTTAGATATTTTACTGACATGTATTAAGGCAATACTGTATTAAAAAATAAAACAGCTGCTGCCAGTCATAGCAGTGGCGTACATAAGCTTAGGTACGTCCCCATGCAAAATTTAAAAATGTACCCTATCGTAGACTTAACACAATTTTTTTTAAAAATTATAATATGAAGCAAACACAGTGAGGAGACATTCAGGCATTTATAATCATTAATTTTATTCTAATTGGTATATTTTAATGTTGATTAATGAGGAATTAATTGCGATGGAAGCCGGAATTAAGAAAAAAGTATTAAGTTGGAGCATTATATACACTTACCAACTTACCACATTGAAATGAAATTAATGTTAAAAATAAAAGAAAATAACTCACTATCTTACAGTAACTATATTCAAAGTTTAGTAAAGAAACAGTTTTATTTGTAAAGTGAGTTAAAAAATTTCTTATAAAAGAAAAAAAATATTTTTAAAGTAATTAATAGGGGTGGGTGCCCAAGTATTTAAACATGTTGACGGCAAATACGATAATTTTTGTTAAAACATCAAGGCAGGAAATTAAATTCTTTTAAATATTTATATTTATTTTTTATTTCCTTAATTCCTTTAATTAACCCTTTTTTCCCCTTTCTTTTTTATAAATCAACTTAGTAATGTATTTGCACGTAACACAAAAGTGCATTTTAAAAATAATTAACTGAAACGTCATTGAGTTAAAGTAGAAAGTAAATATCTTATTGAGCAACATAACTGTAAATTAAATATTTTAATTTAAGAAATTGCATGAGGTTTAAAAATATTTAAAACAAAACAACAAAGCTCGAAATAATATTTAACATTCAGTTCAGCTTATTTTTAAATTGAAAACATTTATCTTTAGCGAATTATAAGAGATTTTATGAATATTAAATTCTTAAAACCACTTTTTAAGCAACAAATAATTAGAAACAAATTTCAAAAATAGTAAACAGTTTAAAAGCGCCTATTCGAATTTCACGTTCTGTTAGATTTTATTAAAAATATCGATATTTAAAAATAAAAAAACAATTGAAAAGTAACTTAGATTGTGACGTTGAAATTGGCACAAATAAAGCACGCCAAAGGAGATGGTTTAAATTTCTGATTCGAAAATCTCAAATCGCTATAGCACCAGATTAAAAATATCAGGATTTTTGAAACCCAGTGGAAAGGTATAGCAATAACTATTGACAGAACGGTAAAGAAAAAACATTCTTAGATTTGCGATGAATTCGGCGTAAATAAAGAATCCATTGAAAGTGTATGATTTGAGTGCGGTATTCAGAATTCAAAATTTCGGATTTTGGGCTTACCTAAAACAGTCAGTTCAATTCACACTCCACCAATTTGACACTCATAAGAAATTAATGTTTTTTTTTTTAAATAAATGATTTTTTGAATGATAAATATTGTTAAACAAACAATATGAAAGAGTCTTAAGAGTTTTAAAATAAAGTTTCGTTTTATTATTAACGCAATAACAATGTAATATTGCATTGCAGATTATTCTTGCGCAAGAGTGCAAGTAATACGAATATATATNCAAACACAGTGAGGAGACATTCAGGCATTTATAATCATTAATTTTATTCTAATTGGTATATTTTAATGTAGATTAATGAGGAATTAATTGCGATGGAAGCCGGAATAAAGAAGAAAGTATTAGGTTGGAACATTATATACACTTACCATCTTACCACATTGAAATGAAATTAATGTTAAAATTAAAAGAAAATAACTCACTATCTTACAGTAACTATATTCAAAGTTTAGCAAAGAAACAGTTTTATTTGTAAAGTGAGTTAAAAAATGTCTTATAAAAGAAAAAAAATATTTTTAAAGTAATTAATAGGGATGGGTTCCCAAGTATTTAAACATGTTGACGGGAAATGCGATAATTTTTGTTAAAACATCAAGGCAAGAAATTAAATTCTTTTAAATATTTATATTTATTTTTTATTACCATAATTCTTTTAATTAACTCTTTTTTCTCTTCTTTTCTATAACTCAACTTAGTAATGTATTTGCACGTAACACAAAAGTGTATTTTAAAAATAATTAACTGAAACGTGATTGAGTTAAAGTAAAAAATAACTATCTTCTTGAGAAACATAAATGCAAATTAAATATTTTAGTTTAAGAAATTGTATGAGGTTTAAAAATATTTAAAAAAAAAACAAAGCTCAAAATAATATTTAACTTTCAGTTGAGATTCAGTTCAATTTATTTTTTAACTTGAGAACATAGAGAATTATAAAAGAATTTTAAAATCTTAAAACAGCTTTTTAAGCAAAAAATAATTAGAAACAAGCTTCAAAAACAGTAAGCAGTTTAAAAGCCCCCATTCAAATTTCACGATTTGTAATATTTTATTAAAAATATCGATATTTAAAAATAAAAAACAATTGAAAGATAACTTAGATTGTGGCGATAAAATTGGCACAAATAAAGCACGTCAAAGAAGATGATTAAAATTCCTGATTCGAAAATATCAAATCGATGTAGCACCGGATTAAAAATATCAGGATTTTTGAAAACCAGTGGAAAGGCATAGCAATAACTATCGACAAAACGCTAAAGAAAAAAAATTCTTAGATTTGCGATGAATTCGGCATAAATAAAGCGCCCATTGTATGATTCGAGAGTGGTATTCAAAATTCAGATTTTGGGTTTTCCTAAAACAATCTTTCATGGTCAATTTGATCCTCATAAGAAATTAATGTTTTTTCAAAATAAATTATTTTTTAAATGATAAATATTGTTAAACAACCAATATGTAAGAGTCTTAAGCGATTTTTTAAAAAACGCTTCGTTTTCTTATTAACGCAATAACAATATTTCATACCAATGTAATATTGTATTGCAGATTATTCTTTCGCAAGAGTGAAAGTAATACGAAAATATACATTAGCAAACAACATGTTTTAAAATAATAGCGCTGCTTTTCGAAACTCTGTTGCCAAGGAAAATAAAAATAGCCATAGTTTTAGAACAGACAAATAACTTAAATATTTTAAAAGTTATTAAAATTCTCAAAAAAACGCCGATTAGGTGACATTTTTCCATTGAGCTAAAAATTGTTTATGAGCCCAGGTAATGCAGCATTGGAGTAATTTTTTAAATATTAAAAATATTAGACCACAAACGCTTTTCATTTTCAGAAAACTGTGGTTTTCCACCATATTGAGGCTTTGCGCCATTTTCAAAATAAGCGTTGACAGTTCTGGCTTTAGATAGGCTAAAGTTGACATGAGTAACAGTTGCAAACTCACAGCAGTTATAAAAATAGTGTATTATTCACAAAAAAGCAGAATTTCTTATTACGATAGAATCCTTGAAAAATAGCCTTAAGTTCCATCAGTAGTTAGGCATTGGAGTAAGCATATTATATCCGCGTGACGTAAAAGTGAGGCCAAAACATCGACAAATTATTTTCTAGCGTTTCTCATAGCTCGTATTCGTTTCATTCTGTGCCTTGCGATGTTAAAAGGTCTCTTTTTAAATTTTAGAGACTGAATTTTATCAATTAGGGGATATCTGACGCGCAAAGAACTAATTTGTAATTCTTTAACGAACTCAAGAATGAGTTCGCAACGAATATTTCGGGTGGCAATGTTTTAAAATTATTTTAGCAGGTAATTTCAAGACGATGCTTAACTGTAATTTATTACTCAATTAGTTGTATACACATAGAAAAAAAGTATGGTCAAAATTACAGTAAATAGTAAAAATTATCGTATTTCTGGCTTTATAGGAACATCAATATAATCGGTAATTTTTGCCGAAGCGCTTTGCTAAAGATTTTGATAAAATTAATTATTAAAGATTGTTTATAATGTGTAATAATTATTATAGTATCTTAAGGCATGTAATAAAAACAATTTATTCAGTCAATTTTACTTTTCACTGTTGTTTTTCTTTACAAAATCTGTGGTAATAAGAGTTATAGTAATGAAAATCAGAATTTCCTGTTAACCGTTACCATATGAACGAAAAAGTGCTAAATAAATGGTTTAAATAACGTATGTGTTGGTTTTTGTTATCAAAAGCATTTTTTTTTTTTACCAGAAATGTTATTACTGTACAAAATGGTAACTTATCAGAATTTTTTTCTCTGCTTACTAAGACTGCTTTATACATATTTATAGACATTTTATTTAAATTAAATCTAATCTTGGTAAATATAATAAGATTGGAAAATTGATTTTAAATTTTAAAATTATTCATCCTAAGATATGGTAATTCGCTTCCAGTTGAAGTTGAGTTAAAATTAAAATACAATTTTAATTAAAGGTTGTAAACAGAAAGAGCCATCTTTTAATTGTATCTGCTATATATTAATGAGTTTAATTATAAGTGCGTCTTGATTATTTTTGAGGAAAACTTTTCGCTTAAAAATTTCATGAAGCTTTATTTTAATTAAAAGTTTAATTTTTGAAATAAACTCCAACGTAATTAGTTTAGTTGTAGTTGCAATTTCAATATATATTGTTGTGCTGAAAAATTTTTAAGTTGCAAACTTTCCAAATTCGATTTTTGAAATCTTAATCATATGAAACTTAAAATGTCAAAATATTTTCATGTGCTTTTTTTTAATTAATTTTGTTAAATTTTACACTGCGAAATTATTAAAATAGCCATAAATCTACATCCGTGGAGAATAAATAGCAATAACTCAAGTCAAATATGCTTTTTGTTCACCTGAATCAAGCATTTCCCAAAGAAAATTAATCTTATAAATGATAAATAAATTTGTTCTAACTTGTTAAATCTCTAATGACTAAAAGAAATTGTGCAATTTGTTGATAAAGTTTAAAACGAAATTCAGACATTTTTTTGTAATTCATTCTTCAATAAAATTATAAAACAGTTAAAATAGTAATTGGAAGTTAAAGTTGAGTAAACTTTTGTTAATTGTCTGAAATATGTGCTTATACATATATACATGAGTATAGTATGAGTACATGAGTATAGAACACTTAAAAATGTATATCTCAATTAATTATTAAATTTTATAATTTTTTTTATCCAATTTTACTGAGATAATCTAACCCGGTAATAAACTACGCTATACATTCGACTATTAGCATTGTGACATCATGTACTTCGCGTGACTTCTAGTCGCTCGCAATAAAGCGATGTTGTACCTTTAGTACTCGAAGTATTAAAGCCAACACATTACTTGACTTCACCCACAGGACGTCCAGCTATCAAAACAGGGAAGCAATTCCCTCCGTGGATTAAAATTATTATCAGATCACCATCGATGATGCTTCCCTGATCGTCACCAATAGCCAATTGTGCAGCTGTAGTGTGACGTGCTACAATATAGAAAAAAAGTACCCGATTAACTGCTTGTTGTGGAAGATCTATTGCGTAAAATAATAAGGCTTATTAGTTCTTTTATGAGTTTTGCTACGAATCAAAACTTCCAATTGTTTCATTTTTTTTAAATATTTTATAACCGTCGTTGAACAACTGACCCAAATTTGAGTTTACGACTACCAATGTTCAACTCCGTAGCCTTGTAATTTTGAACCCAATCCAAAAGGCAAGGAAACTCCTGGATCAGTACCGCCAGAGGTATTGATTTGTTATGGGAACATGGAGGACTTTGCAACTAGACAGATTTAGCGTGCATCAGTCACCATTTACTACACGGGGAGTCTTCGGCCGGCTGGTATCGAACCCACGAACTCTTGGACATGGGCCCAGTGCCCTACCAACCAGGCTATCCCGCCCCAACTACGTAGCCTTGTAATTTTTAACCTAATCCAGAAGACATGGGAACTCCTGGATTAAGCATTAAGAGAAAGTTGCCTTCGTGGAGGACTTTTTGATGGCCCTAACACGCATTTGCGTTGAATGTGGAGGAGGACCACGAGAGCCCACGGTTAGCCTGACGGCAAAGGTACTCTAACCCATGATCCGTCTACCACTGAGGATATTTCACGTCAACACTGTGGTCAGTGCAAATTGGATGCGGATCCGTATTAACCAGCCATCGCAGCCGGTTCACCTCTTTGGAAGTCGAATGCTCTATCTCCTGTGCCATCGTGGCTCTAATTGTTTTCATTGAAAAAAATCTGTGTTTTCCTTTATTTTGTTTTTAATACTATATTTTTTTTTCAGATATGTTTGTGCCAAAAAATGGACCACCTCCACCAAAATGTCCTCCAAATGAAGTGTTCAAGATATGTCTGAGTAATTGTTCCAACTGTGAGCAGCGTGGGTTTTGCATTTTGAGAGAGTGCAGGATAAATGGATGTGATTGCATACCCCATTTTGTAAGGCTGACACCAGGTGGTCCTTGCGAGCCTGTCAGCCAGTGCCCACAACGTGAGTATTCTAAAGCAAACAAATAAAGTACCACGAGATTTACGTAAACTACTATGCATAAGTACTGAATAGCATGGAATGCTTATAAATTAAATAGTTTTTATTTATTTTGTTGTGGTAATGGAAATATATATTTTAGAAAATCGATAGTTACCGTATATCCCGGTGGCGATTTTCCAATCCACCGGCCTTTAACGACATGCTGGCATTTTCTTAAACGAATTACAATAAAACTTGATTTTTGACTCTTTTTTTTTGTTTAGGTAGCAAAGTTTCAAAGAAAATTTTTTTTCTATGTCCTCCTGGGGAATGACCTTTTCGTCAATACAGGCACCTGAAGGGCATATTTGTGGGCCACTCTTTCAGGGGCACCATATTAGGTGGGCCAACGTTGCTCCCACAGTAAGGACAGATAGTACAGAGAATGAAGGAACATCCATGCCTTACCCGAGATTCAAACCCAGAACCTTTCTAATGCAAGGTCAGTTCTCTGACCCATACACAGTTCTGTCGGCCCTGATGGAAATAAAAGCTCGTATTATAATTGGATATTTGGAGCCAATTACAGCTGAGAGGAAAATATCTAAAAAAGAGAGGAAATCGTTAAAGGCAGTTGGATTGTAAGTTAGCATCTTGGGGGGGGGGGGAATCAATTCATTGTATAATTTGATCTCCTATTTTTGATTACGCGTTTTTAAATTTTTGTTATGTCGGGTTATTAGACGACCACTGAAAAGAAAATAAAATATAAAAAATTTCAAAACTAAAAACATTTAAAAAAAATTATTAAGCCTACAAAATTTTCTCAAGTTAATTATGTTTCACAATGTTTTCTCTATAGTATTTATTCCATTGAAGTTTAGAATTCAAATCCAATTTTAATCAATTCAAACAAATAAAACTATGTAAAATACTAATAGGTCACTTGTTATTTCAAACATTCATAAATTAATCAAATATTCTTATTCCAGGAAAAAATCGATTTTTATCTGTTTTACTCCTTTATAAAAATACTTGATCAAATAAGATATTTCTTTTGAACAGAATTAATTAAAAAAAAGTTCTTTAAAACATTTACTTTTTCTTTTTTTAGAGTCAAAGATTTTTCCTAATTATTATCGATATAAGATAATTTTTTTTTTGAATTTAAGAAAACAGAATGAAACTAGTTATTAGAGTTAAATTTTAAAATAATCACTTTCAAATAAAAAATTATCACTTCTCTCATTTTTATCGAAAGAAAAAAATAGTTTTTTTATTATTTAATGAATTGAACAACAAAAAATGCAAACTATTGGAAGCAGTTTTTATTTCCTAACGTGATAATACATAATTCAATTCATTCTCATAATTTTGTTTCCTAAAAATAATAATTAATAAAATCATGAGAAAATAATTGAACGCTACACCCGTGTTTTGTCAATCGACTTCCAATCGTTTTGGCCTAAAAACAGCTATACCTAGAGATATATACACATTTTGTTGGCTCTCTTAAAACGCTCTTTTTCTTTAATTTAGTTGTTATTTTATTATTGCCTTATCGTTATTCTTGACAGTTATTTATTTAGGAAATAACGCATTTTTGTTCGACGAAATACAAACTCTCGAATGTTTACACAATCAGAAAAAAAAAGCATGTTCAAAACAACCAGAATATGGTAAAACTTACAGTATTTCTGGCTCTATGAGAACACCAAAAAGATCTACAATTTTTAATGAATTAGTTAGTTTGCGCAAAAGCCAGTAGTAATTTTTTGAAGAAGCGCTTTGTTATTTATTTTGGCAAAATTAACAATGAATATAGTTGTTATAATGTTTGACAAAATTTAGAAATTGCGGTAAATTTTGCTAATTTTAACATGATACCTCAAAGGATAGTATAAAACTTCTTTATTCGGTTCAATTTATTTTACGGTGTTGTACATTTTACTAATTGTGTGTCAGTAAGAATGATAATTTGAAAACCAGAATTTTTTGTAAACCGTTACCATAATAGCGGGAAAATTATCAAGTGAATGGTTAAAATACCGTATATCTTGGCTTTAAAAACAAGAATTATGCTTTGCTTTTTTCAGAAATTAATTACCACACTGTACGATAATTTTAGCAGAATTTTTTTTCCTTGAATGCAGGGATCTCAACTGCTCATCTAATGAAATGCAGTTTAAGGGACTTTAGCAAATAGCATGATTGCGTTCACATAAAGATGAAATTATAAAAATTATTGCTCACAGTTTGAAGAATATAAGTCAACAATGAGATATTTATTAAAAGAAGGTCATGCTCCCTTACAAAAATATATTGTCTCTTGTATATTTACCAGCTCATCAAGAGCTGTTATAGCAGTGATTCTCAACCTTTTTTTTGCTGCGGCACACTTTTAACGATTTCGAAATTTGACGGCACACAATGAAAAAAATTAGATTAAAAGTTGTTTAATTACCTATTTTACACTGTGTTAAATTGTTTGTGATAATAATTTTAAAAGTGAAATAAGGTAATGTGCACTACAAAAGCACATTTATTAAGGGATTAATTATTTCTTTCGACCAATTTTTTATTAGTTAGTAACAGTTTTTAACTTTTTTTTGCTAGTTATTAATTGTTAGCTTGTTTTCTACTGTTAGTTTTTTTGCGATTTCTTGCTAACTAGTTTTTTTGCAAATTATTAGTTGTTAGCTTAATTTTTGTTAGTTATCCTTCGTTAATTTGTTTTTTATATATTTGTTTTTTTAGTTATCCATTGTTAATTTGTTTATTAATTGCATAGCTTACTTTAATGATTAGCTTTTACAACATTTTTTAAAATTGTGTGTCATATACAATTTAAACACTTCCATCTTATTTTAAGATTGTCAGAGACAATACAATTGCCGACAAAGATGTTCACGCAGTTATAGCGTGGAAAAATTATAAAAAGTATATATATACACTTTTCTTTAATTTAACTTTTATTCATAATAAAAAAAAGCATTATAATTTTTATTGTATCATTTCTAATATTTGGTGGCACACAGAAGTGCCGCGGCACATTGGTTGAGAATCACTGTGTTATAGTATAGTATTATCTATTTAGATTAATACAAAATCTCCTTAATCGAGATAACATTAAATCGTAGTATTGGAATACAAGATTTAAAAAAAAATCTTGCGTAGAAAAGTTTGAGACTTACATAATTAAACAAATATGTACCAAACATTTAATATGATACTATTCATTTTTTTTTAAATTGACACATATAACGAACTTTGAAAACAACCAAATGCATATACTTCCCATATAATCGCTATCCTACATTCTGGACAATATTTTATTCAACCTGAAGTTTCTGCAGAAACGTTTTAAACACGATATAACACCTTTTCGTAGCTCTTATTTCTTTAAGACGTTTCAATCACAGGTCTTTCTGTTTGAAAACAAGTTCAGCATTAAATCGTTGTAAGAGTAAAGAACAAATATAAGAAAACTTTTACTAATGTTCACTATATTCTGCCGATAAAAATCCTTTTAAATCAATACGGAGATTCTTTCTTTAAAATGACATTCTCATCCACAAAAGAAGTATTTCGGTTGGGAAACGATACTCAAGGAAGACTTTTTAGTTTTCATTTTGGTTTTCAGAGGATTGTTTGTTTGCCAGGAACATTTGATTTGATATTTGAAAAGTTCGAAGTAAAATATTATGAGAAATGTGTACAGAAGGGATTTTTCTGTTTATATAAAATGTAGCTTTTTTAAACTTTAAAAATATACCTTTTTCGTTGAAGGGAATCTAAGATAAGTATAAAATACTTTAAGCAACGCAATATTTTTATGTTTGCAAAATTAAGGATGGAGCAAAATATTAGTTAAAAAAAATCTAGAAAAAGCTAAGGTTTTCCTTATCAATTCACTGGTGGACAAAATTAAGAGATGGAAAGCATTTTCGCACATTCATTCGCAAATGCAAGATAACCGCACACTGCTCCATGTGTTTGACAATGGTTCCGTGAATGCCCAGAGATACAGGCAGGAGGTCCTAGAGCCCTATGTGCGTCTTTTCAGGGGCGCAGTTGGCCCTGAGTTCATTTTTATGGACGACAATGCACGACAACATAGGGCTCTCATGGTTGATGAGTATCTGGAAAGCGAGGATATTCAACGAATGGATTGGCCAGCAAAATCCCCTGACCTGAATCCTATTGAACATGCTTGGGATGCTCTTGGGAGAGCTATTGCGATGCGCCAACTTCCCCCCAGAACCATTCTGGAGTTAAAAATTGCTCTGGTGGAAGAATGGGAGGGTCTTCCACAAGTCCTCCTTAACTCCTTTATTAACAGCATGCATACTCGTTGTGCATGCTGTCTGTCTGTCAGAGGTGACCATACACCATACTAGAGGCAGCGCACACTGTACTAGCCTCACTTTTATTGTCATCTTTTATCCTTAAGTTCAAACTACATTGGATTTATTGGCAATAGATCTTGCCAGTGAATGGCACTTTCATTTTTGTTTGGCATACTTTATTATTATTTATTAAGCTATATCCATACCAAATTTCATTTATTTATATTTAGTATTTTTTGAGATATTTGGGAAAATGTCTTCCTTCTCTTAATTTTGTCCACCAGTGTAGTTTTTTTAAGATTACCTTTTTAATTTGACATCAAGCGATATTTTTATGATTAGGGGACTCCGCTTACCAACCCCTTGGTTGCCACTCATTCATCTTTGTTGTTTCTTAAAAATCAATATATATTTTTTTAAAGATTATTTTTTTTATAAAATATTCAGTTATTTTAACTTGATGCTAGAATATTTTTAAAAAAGTTAATCGCAACAAAATGAAAGATTGTAATCGTAACAATTTAAAAAGGATTCAACTCTACTTGAAAATAATTTAAACTTAACAGAAAGTGTGAAAAGCAATAAATGGGAAGTAATTTTGCCCTATAATCTTATATCATTACAACAATTCGAAAAGGAAACGTCTTTTATCTCTGAGTCTCTGTTAGCAACATCTAAACTCTTCTCGTTAATTTTTTTTAATTCATTAATTCATTTTCTTGTTGTTACTTTTGACATGAAGGCAATCTCGATCCTATAAAATTAATATCTCGAAGAGAAGAATTTTTCTACTGCAATTGACAAATGGCAAAAACGGTGAAACAAAATCACAAAAAAAGATTATAATCACTTTCGATTAGATTGGAATTTCGAAAAGAAAGAAAACTCGTGTGAAGTTAATAATTAAAGATAACTATTTCAACACTAACCTTATAACTCTGCAGTTCCATTTCAACTCTTCAATTCTATTTCAATTCTTCAGTTTTGTTTCAACTCTGCAGTTCCATTTCAGTGGGTGGTATTACGGCCAACATATTCTTTTTACAACAACTTTGACACTTAATAGTTCTCAAATCTAATTGTCGAATGATAAACTTTTATATTCCATCATATTCACAGTACGTTTTTCTACAATCTTAATTTCAAGTTCCTTCTATTCTTTATTTTCTTAATTTCAAGTTTCTAAGCCTTGAATTTAGAAAATCGTCAAGAAATTGAATTTTAAAAATGTCGTACTTATAAAATTTGATTTCTCAGCAATTATTCGAAAGATTGAAATGAAATTTCTTATTTTGACATGTTAAATTAAATTTTTTAAAATAATCTAAAAAATTCTACACTTTATAATTCAAAATATTTTCGACTATTGTTAAATAAAAATATAAATAATAGATATTTACTAAAAGTTATTATCTCTTGTACGAAATTATCCGTGAATAAAGAAATTTTTCAATTGGGTGCAAAAAAATTTCAATTCGTTTTAAAAGTTTTCGAGTTATGGTGAAATACGCAAAAGTAAAAACATTAAAGGGTCCAACTTTGGATCGCTTTCCTGACCAAACTATTGGGACCATATATCTCAGATTGCGGCTACCCACTATATTTTGGGGGTCAGAAACCTGATTTCGCGTTTAAAAAAGACATGTTTGTTCATAGAAAGTGCATTTTTATGTCTGATTTCGTAATTTAAAATATAGTCTGCACTAATTAATTAACATGTTTAAGGTCACCCCTTCCAACCATTACAATTGAGTCCTAAAACATAAAGATACGATCATTGGATCAAAAGTTATTTAGGGTAGCCAGCTTACGTTTTTGCGCTCTTGAAATAACTAAACTAAAATAGATGGTGATGTTGAATTATCTGATTATCCAGAATTTTAAAACAAACAGGGTAGTTTATATATATGGTGAGCTCAGTGAGCCAGATCAATCCTTACAATAAGAAAAAAAACCTAAAACATCAGACTCAATCGAACATTTCATAATTTCTTTAACAATGATATCCAAAATTGAAATTTATTCTAAAAATGTAAACAGTTTCTTAAGTCAAATATATGAGGTTTGTTGTTGTTGTTATAGTAGGTCATTAAGGCATTGCTCAGCGATTATTCTTGTTTTCCAGTGGCGTTATCTATGGCTAAAAATTTGACTTCTGCTACACCCATACGTCACACCCGTTTATACGGCTGACCCATTAATGCATCCATTCATTTATCCACAGATATTTTAACCTGAAGCAAAGAACGATCAATTTCCAATCCAGTACCCCCAGGAGTATAATTTGCTTTGGGAACATGGAGGACTTTGTTATTTGGTGGATTTAACGAGTACCAGTCACTATTTACTACAAGGGGAGTCTTCAATAGGCTGGATTCAAACTCCCGTTCTCACAAACGTGGGTTCTGTGCCCAACCAACCAGGCAGGCAATCCTGGCCATATATGATGTTTGATTTCTTGTTTCTTTATATCTTTAACTTTTAAAATAGAGATCTCGCATTTTTTTTATAGTTAATTAGTTAGTTAAAATTTCTAGTGAAAGAGCCATATTGAGCTGTACCGCGCTTCTCATTTGATAAAAATAATGTCAAAGGGTAAACATTTATTTAAATTATCGAGTAAAAATCTATGTACCTGACATAAACTGTAATATTTTTGTGAGGAGTATCTCCAAATAAAACCTGTAAAGTTGGACATTCATGGTTGTCTAAGTTGTTTGCATTTAACGTCAAAATATCTTTCACTGTTAAAGTTTCTTAGCAACTAGAACATACGGAAGCTAGTTCATCAAATAATAAATGTTTGTGGGTGAAAAGTGTGTGTCCAATTCGTAATCTATTTATAATGACTTCTAATTTTTCTAGGCATATTTAATGGTTTAAAAGAAATTATTAATGGTTTTATTTGAAGCAATTTATTATTACTTTCTCTCGTCCATGTTGCTTCCCATGTTTTAGTTAATGTATTATTTGTAACATTTTTAATATCTTATAACTTTTTTGGACGGTGGTCGGTTCGAAATGTTTTGCCATTTCATCGGCCTTTTTATTTCCTGAAATTCCAACATGAGCAGAGATCCAGATTAAAAAAATATAATAATTATCATCGTCCATTAAACATGGGGTAAAATAGCATGAGGTTTATTTACTCTACGACTTAATGCATCCACACATTTCTTTGAATCAGTAAATATCAGTAATTCTGAGAAAAAAGTTTGAGTTTTAATAAATTTGTTGGATTTTTCCGGATAAAACTCATATCTGTGTTTAGTTTAAAATATTTTCAATATTGAAAACAATTGAGTGTTTACGTTAATTGGAAAAATATTGTTAAATTGAAAATTCAATAGAAATTTAAAATAGATGCTCTTTGAAAAATATTTCTCAAATGTTGATGTTTTGAGTCTGTAAAAAAACATTCCAGTTTTAAAACTGTTCATTTATCATTTCGATTGGCATTGAAGCTTATCAATGAATCTACTTTTTGAATTTTATAGCAGTTTATAAGTTATTTGTATTAGCAAGAAAAAGGAGCTGGTGCGGCTTCGTTTTCAGTGTCGGCGATTCTGATATACACTATTTGGAAGAAAGTGACCGGACACGACACTATAACGACATAAACCCATATTTATTAAAATAAATAGGAGGTAGGGCCTCCTTTGTCTGCGATCACAACTGCAACGCTTCTGGGGATGCTTTCCACTAAATTAGCCATAGTGGCTAAAGGAATTTACTTCCAAATGTTTAACAAGAAGTTCCATAGTTCATGCTTGCTTTTGGTGAGTGGGGTGCAAGTCCTCAACCGACGATCCAATTCGTCCCAGAAATGTTCAATTGGGTTAAGATCAGGGTTCTGCGCCGGCCACGTTGCGTTTCACGTTGTTGTTCACATACCAATTAAGAGTCCTCCTTGCAACATGAGATCTTGCGTTGTCGTCTTGATACAAGCAATCATCCACATCGTACGTTGCCCACAAGGTAGGAAGGACATGATTGTTGAGAATATCACAGTATCCATCGGCATTCATCATACCATCAACCTTCACCAGTGGGTCAGCCCATACCAGGAGAAACAGGCACATACCATCAATCCTCCTCCTCCAAACTTTACAGTTGTCCCGTCACTTTCTTCCAGATAGTGTACATTAGCGCTAAGAGCTTAGCTTCCATTCAACATGAATTTGGATGCAAACAAGTTTCCTCCGTAGGGATAACGGTTTTGTCTTACCTTGGAACAGAGTATAATAAAGGGTCAAGCTTGACCTAAATGTCTAAATTGACCTAAATTATATGAAATCGTGTCCCATTTAGGCACACTGACTTTAAATGTTTAAATTGACATAATCATAATTGAAATCAAAGACAATAAATTCTGCATGATCATCTCTCTTTTTTTCTTTGCAGCACAATGTGACGAAAATGAAGTGTTTAGACAGTGTGGCCCAATGTGTGAAAGATGTGGAACATTCAATTGTAAAATGGTACATTGTGAGCACAAATGTTATTGTAAAGAAGGATATAAACGTAACGAAACTGGAAAGTGTATACCTCAAGATGAATGTCCTCCCAGTAAGTAGAAAAGAAAAAATCATTTTGCTTGATTTTCACTGCAATCAAAACTTTTATCTCATGGTGAAATAAATGTAAAATAATTTGGTTTAAATTAATTCAAATCGAACTAAGTAAAAATTTAGAGTTACTTAGTACATTAATAAGTAAAACTTTTCGTCTTCCTATTAAAGTATTTTCTAAGTTCTTCATTGTGACTTGTCTCTTCTTAAGCATAAGCCAATCGTTAAACAATATCTTTATTGGCAGTTTTCGACGGTGTAGCAACTGAAATGAAGAAAATTGTCTTTTAAAAACATAGCAACATCAGAAAACTGCCTACTTTACTCATTTACCTATTAAAAACAATTAAATTGAAATAACGTGGCAGAAAAAAATTAAGATGTAGGTATGTAGGTAAAATGAACATCTTTTATTTGCATCACACTAAGAGCTGTACAATATGACATTGGTGACGGTTTGAGACAAAAAACATCCCGGATTATGATCCGAAGACACGAAAACACAATTTCGATCATCTCTAGAGGAGATCTCATTTGTGAAGCCACTTTCACAATTTAGACATAGATCTGACGGGGAAGGAATTTTTCTCCTGATCCCTGTAATTATGGTACTGCTCAGTGACTGACCACATGAATTTTTATTCCACAAATTTTACGAGCACGTATACCACATGTACTGAATGGGTCTTATCAGACCAGAGTCCTATTCTCTAATCACTGGACTACCGCGATCCAAATAAAGATGCATGCAGCCTATCTTAACAAGTTTTTTAAATCTAAAATTTTTGCAATGTTTGAGAATGTCATTTGGAATTTTTCCCCCATAACATTCTTCCTTTTTCATGACTACATTTTTTCACGGAATTTTACTTACAGCACATATAGATACACTAAAGCAGCAGATCCCAAAGTTTTTTGATTATGAAACCCTAAGGGATCGATCTTTTTTTCACAGAACCCCTAAACATTATGAATAAAATTGTGAACAATTGTAAGCATATTATTTAACGAAAGACTATTATTTAGAAAATATTTATTATGAAAATTAAATTTTATCAGTTCAAGTCTTAAAATTAGGTTTAATGTTAATCAGTTGATTTCAAAGATCTGGTGCAACATATAGTCTAGTTCTGAGCTTGATTTTGGAGTAAGCATCAGCCGAATGCAACTTATTCAGTTTTATTATGGTAAAATTATGAGTTGTAGTTTTCGTTGAAATAAAAACTGAAAAGGATAGAAGCAAACAATGAGAATGGCTATCAGAGAAACGTATTTTTATATTGATAAATTTGGTTATTTTATTTAAAATTGCAACATTAGGGATAAAATACTAATGTAATTTTTTATAAATACATATATTTTCATTAATAATTTTTTCTTTTTCTTTCTTTGCAAGCATTTACTTTAATTTAATAAAAATAACCAAAATATTAAATGAATAAGAAATAATTAATTGGACATAAATTCCTATTGCCGGATTCTGAAAATTATAACTGGTTGAAAAAGTCCTATTAAAAATTTATTTTATCACCGATTAATAATCTTGAGGTAAAAGGAGACATGTCTCGCAAATAATTATTCCCTCTTGAAAAAAATTACAGCTGGAATTGAAAAGAATTTAGTGTCTTAAGGTGCGAAATTCTATAAGGACATGCTGCATCAAACAACATGATTTTACGGTCAAAAAAGAAATTGCACACTAAATAAATTTACAGCAAGAGTAAAAACGTGAACAATTTTAAAAGTACTGTCCCTACTGAAGCATCTTATATTTTTCACTTCGATTTATATAAAATGTTTTTAAAAAAAATTAAAAATTAAATTAAAAAAAAAAGATAAATTAAATGGCTGAATATTTACGAATATTGGCAAACAAATGACTAAAACAGTAATGATCAAACAATTGGTTTTTAAAATGAAGAAATATAGGTCTCAATCTGACTCAAATATAGAATTGCTTATAGTCTTAAACTAAAGTATTTCTAATTGTCTCAAAATAAATATTGTTATAGTCTAGAAATAGTCTAAGTAATAGTTTAAGTCTAGTCTAAAATTGTATCGTATCTTAGAGTCTCAAACAGTACTCGTTTCTTGTTAAATACTCTTATAGTCCAGCAATAGTCTTATTAATTCTTATAATTGTCTTAGTAATAGCCTGAGTATAGTTTAAGTTTTAGTAATAGTCTTAGTAATTATAATTCTTTTCTAATACAATCTAACTAAGATATAATATAGTCTTTGTAATTCATATAGTCTGAAACTAAATCTTTATAGCCTCAAATTGAATAGTCTTTGCGAAGTATTTCTCGTGAAAGAAATATCCAGTTTCCAGTGAAAGCATTATTATTCCTGATTTCTTTTTCTAGAAATTCCCAGTAATTCCTTTTAAAAATTAGCAAGACTTTCGAAATTTATTCAAAACTTTAAAGACAATTTGCAATCAAAATTGTTCTCAACTTTTCCCTCATCCAACTTGGTCAACTCTTCAAAACGTTGAAAAATTTGCTCTACAAATGAATTTTAAAATTGTTAAACATAGGACGATCTTATGATAAATCTTTCTTCAACTTAAAACTCTGTTTAAAAGTAATTCTATTTACATGAATTTTTTTTATCATTAATTTGTTATTTTATTTTTAAACATTATTTTATTTTATTTTTTCTTTTTATTAGAGCAATTTTATAATTTCCTACATATTTTCTATAACTAATATTTTACATATGCTTTTTTATTTTTATTAATTTCTTAATTTAAATTTGCTTACCTCACCTAATCTCTTTTAGTTATTATTATTATTTAATTATCACTATTTCGTATCAAATTTAATATTTTTTGTTAAAAAATTTTTTTTATAGTTTTCATTTTAAAACATAATTTCAATGATCATTTTCTTTAGCTTAATCACGCTTTTTAATATCTATCAGTTTCTTCGCATATTTTATAATATGAAGGTATAAGAGACATGAGTAACTTTTTTAGCAATTGCAATTTTTGAACATTTACAACTTTAAATATTCTATTACTATTTTTTATTTCTTCATAGCTTCTTATGGGGTTACTTAGCTAAATTTTACACAGTAAAAATATATAAAATCAATTATTAGCCGATAAAGATTCAAATTAAATAGAAAAAAAAACAGTTTTGTTATTACCTTACTGACAATTATCAATTTTTTTAAACTGAGAAAATGAAGTGCATAAAATTGTCCCTGTTAAAGTTTTAAACTTTTAAAAAATTCCCCAAATCTTGATAGATTTTATAACTTTCCATTAATTATTATTTTCGTATTAGTTACTATTAGAAACTTAATTGTTACGATTAATAATAATAAATTATTATTTACTTAATTATTAATTATTATTTTTTTTAATTATATAATATTATATTTTATATATTTCATAATTATCTAATACTATTATTTATTAATATTAATTATTATATTAATTATTAGATTTATTATTATTAAGAAGTATTATTAAGCAATAGTTAAAATTTTTTATTATTCTGGACTTTATTATTAATAATGCGTCTATAAAATGCGTTTATAAAAATTCGTAGGATAATATAATTACTATAAANATATATATATATGTACTTATATTACAATACAAAATATGTACTGTATGATTATTTGCTCGATTTACGAAAGCGAAAAATCTTAACAAAGTCTATCTTAACAATATTTTCCTTATTCATACTTTTTTGATACAACTAATACAATCGAAGTGATTTTGCAGTTTTTATTTAATATAACCGAATTTTTTTATACAAAATATTTTTCTGCAATTCTTCAGAAACGCGATGTGCTCGTGAGGAAGAGTGGAGAGATAGTGGATTTGAGGATGAGTACTGCTTACACGAGGAGGGAGAAATTGTTTCCAATTCTACTGTAAACGCCACTCGATGTTATTGCAAAGAGGGATTCAGAAGAAGTGGTTTGGGACATTGTATGGAGGAAAAATATTGCCATATTGGTAAGTACCCTTATAAAAGTTTTATTTTTATTTCAAAATTATTAAGTTGTTTAGAAATCCAGAAGATGAGTATTTTTGATAAGAAACACAGGTTTGTTATTAAACTTTTGAATTTTTTATTGATAAGTGAGGGATGTAGATTTTTGGGGCAAGAGTACTGGTTATATCGCCCCTAAAACTAGATTGAACTTAAAATAACTAGGTTTAGGTTAATATAAATTGTTTAAATTAAAACTAAATTAAATTTAGTGTTTTTGAATTTGGTAAAAAGTATAATGGCTTACATTTAAGAAGTGTTTTATATCCTAGAATAAAATCTAATATCCTGAAACGAAGAGAAGATATTTTTATTTGGTTTGTCACCGATTAAATCTGATAAAATTAGATATTCGCAGTCAAAATGGCGTTGTCTTTGAAATATGAATTTTTTTTGCATTGTTTGAGAAAATGCATAACTGTTAAGGACTTGTTGCAAATTGAGCATGTAAGAGCATGTTCATTTAATGGAAGATGTCTGCGCGTCAAACGGGTGTGACCAATGCGCAGTCTGTTTTAGATTACTTTATATTCACGTGGAAGGCGTCTCTGTTATGGCTTTGATAAATGATTTTACACAAAACAACTTGTTATTTTCTTCAGTACTCAACTCATTTTTCCAATTTGAAATTTACCTATTTTCTAGTGTTTTTCATATCTGAGAAAGTAAGAGGAATACAGACTAAATTGTGTGTTGATTTTGCTTTTTATTGATAAAAAAAACATAGGTTTTGGTTTGTAGTAGCATATCTAGTAAATAATCTTCATGGTTTCGCTGACGCGTACGCATGCAGCTGTACCCTGAAACGCAGGTCAGGAGCATGTGCTTGACAAAAATGCGTGTATGTTATGACTCAATTAAGTTTTTTCCATTCTCAACTTTTTTTCATCTGATTTACTGTAGATTTCTTTTTGCCTATGATTTGTATAACGTGTATGCTAAATTCTATTGACATTCGTCTACCAGAATAGACTCGATGTGAGTTTAGATTCACATCGAGTGTCTAGACGAGTGGTAGACGAAATAGACTCACATCGAGTGTCTAGACGAGTGGTAGACGAGATAGACTCACTTCGAGTCTATTCTGGTATACGACTAAATAGGATAATTTTAATTATTACGACCCAGTAAAAGTATGAAATATTAATAGACTGAGTAGCAGGAAAAAATTAATCCGTAAGAAAACATTGCTTAGTAATATGGAGAAAATCAATGGTTGGTTGGTTGAGGTTTATTGGCACAAGAGATAAAATTGTCTCTATTGAGTAACTAGGTTAAAGAGTTGCACTTTTTGTAATTAATGATTATAATCCCACTATTTTTTTCAAAAACTTGATGAGATTTTTGATGTATAGGGTGACATCACAAAAAGCTTCTTAACGTGAGGAAGATCATTGGTATTCTTACTGGTCACTGCACCCTCAACAGACACGTCTGCATTATGGGTATTGCACCCGATCCTCTTTGTCGTGGTTGTCATCTTGATAAGAAGACTTCACGACATACTCTTTGTGAATGAAGTTTTTTTCTGCTCAAAGTTTTGAGCATCTGGCATAACATTATGTTAAGGCCTGGGAACTACAGGATATTCCTGTCAGGTGTTTGCTGAACTTTGTTTCAGCTATAAAGCTTTACCGCAAGTCATGCTTCAGGGTTTAGGCACAATAGACCCCTGGTCGAAGTTCCTTGCTCCTTGGAGCTGCCCGACCTTTAAGTCTAAGTCAAGTAGGGTGACGAAGCAGAAATTATTTTAGATAAAAGCTGCCAAAGAGTTCATTCTTTAAATGCTTCAATCGTAAACAGTCAGTTAAAATGTGTTTAATGGAAATATCGACATGGCATTGAGTACAGATGGGACAGGTTTGGCCTGTCCCATCTGTACTCAATATGCACATTGGTAAAGCGATGCATATAGGTAATCTGTATGCATATAGGTAAAGCGAGAATGACCGATACGTAGTCTTTTAGTTAATACTTGGGTTTTTGTGGTCAGCATTTAATGTTTAAGAGCTATCAAAATTAATAAAAATTTCATGCTATTTATTAATTTATTTATTAAAATGCTCTTTCCTGGATGAGGATTTACAAATACGTTTAACGTTCAAAGATTGCTCCTGCTCTATTTCTTAGTTTCATTTAATTACAACAATCGCAAATAAACCTAAAGTTATTTTATACAAAAATTAAATTCTACAATGCTTATTAGTAAAATGACATTAATAATTATTTTTTAACTACATTTGTCAAAGTAGTTAATTATTTCTTAAAATTCTTTCCGTGGTGACTAATTGACAAGTTTACCAAACTATACGAAATTCTAAGAGAGAATACAACGTAGACGAAAGAAAAGCAGCTTTAGTAGACGCGGTTTCAAACTTTTTATGTTTTTAATTTAAACAATGTGATGCACTACTTTAACAAGAAAAGAAATAATTTAAAGGAAAGAAAAACATCTCTTTTTGTGCGTTTTGAGTGTCGAGGGAAAACAAAGTTTTTTAATAAGCTGAAAAGTACTGATTTTGTTGAAGCGTCAGATTAAAGAAAGAATCTTATTATTTACAAATTGGCACTGAAAGTTCTATTTATTTACTGTTTAGAAAAGTATTTAATAGTGAAAAAAAAGCTTTACATGTCTCCTATTCACCTTCGTTAGAAATTTAATTAAAAATTATTTAATAATTTTTTTTAACATAATGATTGAATTGAAAAATTTTTTGGCATTAGTTATTGAGTAAATAGGAGAGCTAAAATTATAAAAATTTCAAAATCAAATAGGCTTCGGAGATAAAAGCTAAATCTGAGCACCAGGAAATTATTTATCACCACATTCACGAGAAGTATGAATTTTACATTAATTTAAAAACTAATTTTAAAAATTATTAGTTTAGAAATTTATTTGGAAATTATATTTTTCAATAATCAGAGCAGAACTGAAAAACTTTTGAATTCAGAAGTACTCTACGCTTCGTAATATTTATATTTCGAGTACCAGTAAGCGTTCACTATAACGAATTCCATCATCTGTAAAATCTATTTCATCATAAAATTCATTTTTACAGTAAAATATTCCCTTAAAATCACTGAATCACTCTAATTATGTAAATATTACTGTCGAAATTACGGTATATTAGATTTTTTGTTTCGTTACATGATCCATTCAAAATGGATTTTATGGTAAAAAGTACCGGCACCCTGAGTCCCGGTACTTTTTACCGTGAAATCTTTATTAATTACACTCGTAATTAATTACACGAATTCTTCGTTTCTATAAAATTAATTCTAATAATAGTGTAATTAAACTATCAGACTAACTTTGTAAAAAATATGAGGTTAAGAGACAGTAGTTACTATAACAAAAAATTACCTTAAAATCACATAATCACTCTAATTATGTAAATATTACTGTCGAAATTGGGGTATATTAGATTTTTCGTTTCGTTACATGATCCATTAAAAATGGATTTTATGGTAAAATGTACCGGCACCCTGAGTGCCGGTACTTTTTACCGTAACATCTTTATTAATTACATGTATAATTAATTACACGAATTCTTCGTTTCTATAAAATTAATTCTAATAATAAGATAATTAAACTATCAGACTCTAACTTTGTAAAAAAAATGAGGTTAAGAAACAGTAGTTACTATAACAAAAACTACAATATGCTTTAAAAGCTGCATTTTAGTATTATGACATAAAATGTGATTTCAAGTTGATTGTAATAATATTCGAAGAATGTATTTTGTCCCACCTTTAATGTCCCAATGAATGAATTAATCCTAAAATGGAGTAAAATAAGAACAAATTTTACAGTTCTCTTTATAAATGATATACACTGAAGAGTCATTCGATTATGACCATCCTCCATCTATAACAATGGGCTCGCCCAGATTTTCATGGTTTCTCGTCCGAGAACAATGTTTTCATGGGGCACATTAGGACACATAATCCTCATAGAACAATTCCTGACGTCTGTAAGCTACTTGAACATAGTTGCAGACCAGGTTCACCCATTCATGGCAACAGTTTTTCCTGCGGGGGATAGTGTTTACCAACAGGATAATGCACCATGTCATAAGGGTCGAATCGTAATGGATTGGTTCGAGGAACACTCCAGTGACTTTCAAGTCATGTCTTGGTCCCGAAATTCACCTGACCTTAATCCAATACAGCATTTGTGGTCCTACTTAGAAAAACCAAATTCGTGCTGCCACGCTACCCCCTCGCAATGTAAGGGAATTGCAGGACCAGTTGGTGAGCGCTTGGTATCAGATACCTCAGACTACCTATCAGCACCTTGTGGAATCAATGCGACGGCGGGTACTAGCAGTTTTAAGGGCTAAAGGTGGTCCTACATGTTATTAACAGGGTAGTCATAATGTAATGGCTCATGGGTGTATTTTTGATAGTAAAGAAATAGATTATATTGTTTTTTATAAGTCATTTATTGAAAGTTTCATTGTGATCTCTCTATATTCTGCTTCAAAAAAAACTTTTGAACAATTGCAAAGCAAATAAACTGTAGTGTTATTTAAAATATACCAGGCGAGGAAAATGGCATAATGGTGAATATAGCATCGAGTTTTAGTCTGTTGTTTTCTTATTAAGATATCATATCACCTCTTTAAAGATTTTCATTATCTAGTCATGAGTATATATGCCTTTTGTATATCATCAAAAAAATGAGCTCTTTAATGTTTTTCATTATCTTTTGTTGAGTATACCTATCTTTTGTATATCATCAAATAACGAATTCTTCTATCCGGAACTCATTGTCGCTGTTACAGCTTTGTGGTCTTATTAGCGAAATTGGAAATCGAGTATGTAGCTAGATGTTTACGAATACTGTAGGATGATTCACGACTTTGTGCCACAATATGTTGAACGCCATAGGTGGTTTCAACATGATAGGGCACTTCCGCATTATGGCAGATTTATTCATGAACATTTGAATCAGGGATTTGNCACGCGTAATTAATTACACGAATTCTTCGTTTCTATAAAATTAATTCCCATAATAAGATAATTAAACTATCAGATTCTAAATTTGTAAAAAAATGAGGTTAAGAGACAGTAGTTACTATAACAAAAACTATAATATGCTTTAAAAATTGCATTTTAGTATTATGACCGAAAAATGTGATTTCAAGTTGATTGTAATAATATTCGAAGAATGTATTTTGGCCCACCTTTAATGTCCCAATGAATGAATTAATCCTAAAATGGAATAAAATAAGAACAAATTTTACAGTTCCCTTTATAAATTATGTATTTTTGATAGTAAAGGAATGAATTATATTGTTTTTTCCAAGTCATTTATTAAAAGTTTCATAGTGATCTCTCTATATTTTGCTTAAAAAACGTTTGAACAATTGCACAGCAAATAAACTGTAGTGTTATTTAAAATGTACCAGGCGAGAAAAGTGGCATAATGGTGAATATAGCATCAAATTTTAGTCTGCTGTTTTCTTATTAAGACATCATATCAGCTCTTTAAAGATTTTCATTATCTTATCATGAGTATATATGCCTTTTGTATATCATTAAAAGGATGAGCTCATTAATGTTTTTCATTATCTTTTGTTGAATATACCTGCCTTTTATATATCATCTAATGACAAGTTCTTCTACCCGGAACTCATTGTCGTTGTTACAGCTGTGTGGTCTTATTAACGCACTTGGAAATCGAGTATGTAGCTAGATGTTTAATACGAATACTATAGGATGATTCATGACTTTGTAAGACAATATGTTGAACGCCATAGGTGGTTTCAACATGATAGGGCACTTCCCCATTATGGCAGATTTATTCATGAACATTTGAATCAGGGATTTGGTCACAGATATATTGGGTGTAGTTGACCCCTGACCACTAAACTCTCCCGATTTAAGCAGTCTGGATTTATTTATTTGGGGTGCATTGAAGCTTGCTGAGTACGCAACAATTGTGGATTCCAAAATGGATCTGGTTTCAAGAATCGTCAGTGCTGCTGCGGATATCTAACAAAATCTAGGTGCATTTGAGCAAGCCTCCAGTTCATGGTCTAAAGGTGCAACTCATGCATTTCTAGCAATAGTGGAAACTTTGAACATCCTTTGTGACATCTACCGCAGCACATGTAATATCTTTTACCAATAAATATTTTAGATGATCTCAGTCTCGTGCCTTTTTGTTTTTTATACCTCTCATACTACTTTCCCATGACATTTCCGACAATGCAATTCTGAATCCTTGTAAGGTCTCCTATCTCCCCTTGTCCCAATAATTCTGGGACCCTGAAAAAAGATTAAAAAAAATGAGGAAACATGAATTTTGAAATTTTTATTCGATAAACAAATGCACAGTCACTCATTTCTCACATTTAAATTGACAAAGAGCATCCATCTTTCACCAGACCACAATCCACGAAATCATACTAAATTTTTATTCATCTCTGTTCTTAAAATGGTAGCAAAATCTGTTTTGCAGATTATTTGATCGACATACATTATTTGGTTTACAACAGTTCACAATTTTTTTTCCGGAATGGAATGAGACTAATTGAATTTCTTTCTTTGGACGAAACTCCAACTTCATAAAGATAATTGCGAACGTATTTAACAATAAAAGGCTTAATTTTAAAAACACTTAATAAGAAGAATGAATTTTTGTCATCGTTTTGTCATTAATAATCTTAAGATAGTTTTTATGTCCGGCAGTTAAATTCGAAGTCACGAAGCTGTTTTCTAGTCTAGTTATTAATGCGTTTTGGTGCTATGTGAGCATATACCCGAAAATGAATAAAATAAGCAGAAATGTGGCTTTCTTTGAAATAAAAAATGAAACAAACAAACGTTGAAGATCGTTATTAAGGAAATATATTTCTTTACTAACTAGTTTTGTAATTTCATTTTTCTTTGAAAAGTGTTATAAATGATAGTTTTATGAATGCTATACATAATTTTTTCATATTTTTCACATTATATTGTTATTAGAAAAATTATGTTTATTAAGAAATCTATCCATTTCCCTTTTGCACCTTTTATTTTAAACAAGTGGGCTGCGTCCCCTACTCGCTAACGCTCGCCAACCCCCGAAAATTGCCACGCAATCTTATATGGTTTGCTTCGCAAGCCAAGCTCTCCTCGCTCGCTACTAACTTAGGTACATTGCAAATGCACAAAATTCTAAGAATTCAGAACAATCATTCAAATCCATATAACAACTTTTTTTTAAAAAAAAATTACATGTTTTTAGTAAATACTAAGTCATTAAAATAAATTTGAATTCAAATAAATGACATGTAATTCGTTAAACCTACTAGAAATGTGCTATAGTATAAAATCGTAAGATAAAATTTTTAAAAAATAAAATTTCTCTTTAAAAAGGTAAAAATTTTGGCTTTAATTAAGTTTATTAAAAATTGAAATAAGTTAATTGCAATGGAAAAACCTGCATAAACAAATAAATTCTAGTAAAACAAATAAATTCGTGATATAAATCAAAAATCGTCAAATAAATTCGTAATATATAAATTCGTGAAAAAAAGCGCTTTCGACAAAATACTAAAATAGAGATCTATCGACAAAGACTACTCACTTCTGCCTAGCTTATGCTCTGGTTATTTCAGTTTACGTTTTTAAAAGCGCTATATGTTGAGCCATCTCAGATAGATTTGGCATGTGACATTTTTGCGGCAATCATTGGTCGATTTTCTAGCGTTGCCATTCGGGGAGTTGTAATGAGGCTTTCGTTTGTCGCCGTGTAAGAGAAATATATAGAGAGATAATTTCATGAGGAAAAAATGTAAACAAATATTTTTCTATTACCACAGTGAAATGCAGTGGTCCTGAGACGTACCAAAATTGTCCAAGAAGATGTAATTCCACTTGTCGTACTTATGGAGATCCTGACTGTGTAGAGGATGGTCAATGCTACCCAGGCTGCTTTTGTCCTGAGGGAATGTATATGAATGATTTTCGATTGTGCGTAAAACTTGAGCAATGTCCACCAGGTAAGAAGATACAAAACCATGAAGTTATGAAAGATTACTGTTTCATTTATGCCAATTGTTTATAAGTTCTTATTTATCTAGTGCATTCTTATTTATATATTAGTCTCATTCCAATGTTAATCTCCATATTTGTTTTATACCAGGAAATAAGTACGCTAATCTAGGGGGAAAATGGTAAGAAATCCAAATTGTATTATTTACCTGGTTTTCAGTTATTTAGTTCAAATAAGTGAGTCGGTGCATAAATTATCGAAACATGAATGTTTTTTTCTCTTTAAAGCATAATCAGGAATTTTTTTATCTTAAACTTACTCAAAAAATAATTAAAAAGATCAAAACCGGGCTAATGTGCTTCTCTTATATATTACACGGTGTTAAAAGGTAATTTGTTAAGGGAAATCTGTAGCTTAGAAAAACGGATTTGAGGAGTAAAAAATGTGTTATCAACTTGAAAAAATCACTGATTTTTTTAAACATTCATACAGTTGGTGAAAAGAATTCCGTTTTGTTTTTCATGAATAGTGGCTTACTCGAAAAAATATTTCCTAACCCCGAAACTGTTCTTTCGTAAACTTGTTTAAATATAATAAAAATGATCAAAGTGCAAAACAAAAATAGGGTATGCACCGTTACTAAAGAACGTTATTTTATTTTATAACCGTCGTCGAACTGCCGATCCAATTTATGTTCTACTCCACAGGATTATAATTTGGAACCCAATTCAGAAGGCAAGGAAACTCCAGGATCAAGTATTGGGAGAAATTCTCCCTTCTTGGGGAACTTTTTTGATAGAACTAGCCTACATTTGCATTACATGGAGAGGAAAAACCCCGGAAACCTCCCATCGTTAATCTGACGGCATTTGGACTCTAACTCATGATCCGTCTACCCCTGAGATTCAAACCCAGGTGACCCCATTAGGAGGCAAGCGCACTATCGCCTAAGCCACCACAGCTCTTGCGAAAGTATTATAGAAGTGTATGTTAATTTTAATTAGAGTGAATTGAAGTGAAAGTTGGGTTTAATAGCACAAAATTTAAAAGCCAAACAAACGGTTTTTATACATACTATTACTTTATCTTACTAAATTACATGATATCTATAAAACTGTGCAGGACGAAAGTTTGATAAAATTACAAGTACGATAAAACAGTTATGTACAATATAAAATACTAGTATTCCGCAGAAATGCAAGATGTTAGGAAGATATGTTTCATCTAATTATTCTTTTGCACATGACATAGGGCTACCAAATAAGGTAATATGATATTTGTAAAAACAGGAATCAAACGAGATGAATTAGGAGTAAAACACTGCACGTACTATATTTGGTATAAGCATCCCAAATAATGAAGATCAGTTAGTCTACAATGCGTAAGCGAGTGAGCTTGACATCTGAACTGAATTTGTATTAGATATTCTGATTGAAGTTTCAATAATAATTTAATGCTTGATTTTAGGATCGAGCCCTTATATTCCCACCTTTCCCCCACAAGAGGAAACCACCATACCATCTAGTGTCGGCGAAGATCTCCAACAGAATGAAGCTACTACACCAACCACTGGAGGAAGTGAAGAATCTGAAAAATCTGCTAACTCAGAAGCAACAGCTAGAGCTGAAGCTAGAGCTAGTGCTGAAGCTGGAGCTAGTGCGGAAGCTGGAGCTGTAGCTAGCGCTGAAGCTGTAGCTGTAGCTGATGCCGAAAGTGGAGACGGTGCAGAAATGCCTGAAAACTTACGTGGGGAAGACATAGAATCTGGTGATGAAACAGGTGCAGGTACACAGCAGTCCACAGATTCGACTTCTTCTCCAAAAAGGAGATCTTCCAAGAGACCGAAGACTCGAGCGAGGGCTCATAGTGACGCATCAGTCCAAGCAGAGGCTGAGGCGGCCTTAGGCGCAATAAGAGAAGCTGGCGGTGAAGAAAAAGAATGATGTTGCTGTTTTACAGTTCATTATTTCCCTTAATGTCAATTAAGAGCATATAATGAATATTTTGCACTGAATAAAAAGTGCAAGTTGGATCTACTCTTTGATGTTTTTGTATAAACACCAATTGATGACATATACAGGAACTTGTCTGATGTAAATACATTTAATGATTTTTTAATCAAAATATAACGACTAGGTATAGCTTTTTTCTTCGTTCTTACTATTGTTTGAACTATCACATGGTTTAGAACTATGAAAATATTTCTTTTGAGACATGTAAGAAAGCAAATAAAGTTACTAGTTTTGTTATATTTATGGATAGACCCTTAACATTTTTAGACCTAATAGACTTATAACCACGGGTCAACAAATCACGATCGTCTCATCTCAGAGCCGAAAATTTGCAATTGGTGCACAATACTTAAGTTAAACTGACTTAAGCTTTAATCTGAATATTTCTTGAAAAAAAATTACCCGAACATAATTTTGCATTTTTGTTGTATTGCTTAACTTGAATAAATTATCTTTGCATTAAAAGTGTGTGCCATACTCCAGAACAATTTATGTATTTTTAGGTAATATTAAATAAAAATAATTACCTTCATTTAATTCCATAACAGCAGAAATTTATTTTCTTTTTAGCTGTTAGTTATTTACGCTACTTCGCGCGTTATAGCTAGTAATAACATGCTAGCTCTTAGAATATCTGAATTTTTGTAGACCCCTGATTAAAGCACACTATAATTATTAAGCAGTAAGTTGTATAAAACTCACATTAAAAGTTAATAATAAAAAAAACTATTGGGATCAAATAAAGAATCTAATTTTTGAAGAACCCTATTTTTTTTAACCCTTTTCGCCCATTTCACCTTTTTCTGATGTTATAACCAGCTACGATGTTTAAATGCAACTGTAATAAAATTTAACAGTTATGTATATGAATTACAAATTTCTGAGTTTATTGCCTTTGAATTTGTTTCCAAAAATAAATACTAAAAAAATCTCTTTACATACTAGCATTTTATTAGAAAGAAAGCAAAATCTAATATATAATAAAATAAAAATATTTTAAAATATATTGAACAGAACTTGAAGATTCTAATGTATATGAAAAAAGGATGTACAGAATGGAATAATAACGCAATAAATGCAAGAATTAATAGAATTAATCAATAAGAAATACAGTACAGAACAAGTACAAAGTTAGAAATTTCGGAGATTGTTGAACTATTGCTATATTATCGTTCAAATTTGCTTAAATTAATTCATTTAATTTAATTAATGCTTAAATAATTAATTTAAAATTCAGAATTATTCTAATTCCTAATTTTTCTTTTGCATTTCTTGATTCCCAATTTTAGATTAATACACTCATTTTATAGTCAAGATAAAATTCTGCAGTTTTTTTATTAGTTTATTCCACAAGCAAGATGTAGGGTTTCATACAAACTTAAAAAGATATTTGTGATCAAAATTTGAATACAGAAGTATTGTACATAAGTACTACTGATTTTGAAAGTATCTATAATATTTTGCATATAAATTATTATTAAGGAATTTTCAGCTCCAAGAAAAAACGGGAATTATATTTATAGGTTTTCTAGACTACTTTTCAGGCAGAAATGTAGATAAAAGTATTTTTATTTATGCACTTTAGTACAAATATATTACACACATAGATATATATTCAGAAAATGTTTCTAAAATATTAATTGTTTTAAGCAGCCGCGTGTGAGACTTATAATCCCATAACACGTATAATACCAATTTAGTTTAAATTATAAATCATTTAGCTAAACATTTAACTATAAATCATCAACCAAACGAAAAAATACACAAACTTGAGTTTTAAATAATAAATTAAAGTTTAATGACGTTTAAAATGGATAAAATAAGTAAATCAATATTTAACTGACAAAAGAAACTGAATAACTTTTGTTCCAATGATCGAATTTTGAGAATTTTATAAACAAGTCGAAAATGCAATTGTAAAATTCATTTATTCAAAGATAATTCTATTCAAGAAATATAATTAACAATTTCTAATTGTTTTATTAAATATAGGACATAAAATTTAGAATTGTACTATCGTACATTAATTTTACATCAATTTAAACAATGTAATTTTTAACGACAAAATAGAAAATTAGAATGAATGAAATGATTTATTTAATGGTCAGATCTAATTAATTAGTATATTTGTGATAAATCCTTCAAACCTTTAAGATTGGTTTTAAGTAAGTGAAAATATGATCATTAAAGCAAAATTTATTTGAGGTGATATCTTTTTTTCTTCAATTTAATCCAAATTATTTGGACTCCGAATTCTCAATGATAGTGAATTTTAGTTTTATTGTACTGAAAAATGAAGTGTTTTGAGTTATTCATACGGAGATGCTTACTTTTAAGTAAAAATATAAAAACATTAAGACCGAGTAAAAGAAATAGTTTTAAATTAATTTTGTTAAGTTTTTAGTTAATTATTTCCGTTCTTTTGAGAGGAGATTTTTAAATCGAAATAATTTCTGGATCATAAACTATTGCACAACAATACTTAAAAATTTTCGAAAAATTTGACATTGTTTTTGCGCAATAGGATATTATGAAAACGTCGATTTTACATTTACATAAAGAAACGTCAAAATTAATAGAAGAAAATTACATATTTTCATTTGTGAATATGGTTTTTTAAAACTCTCTCCGATTAAATTTATCCAGATCAAGTTAAATAAATTTCAAAATAATTTTTTTTGGGAATGAAGATTTTTAAATCGAAATAATTTCAGGATCACAAATTATTGTACAAAAATACCTTAAAGTTTTCGAAAAATTTGACATTGTTTTTGTGCGATAGACTATCATGAAAACGTTGATTTTACATTTACATAAAGAAACGTCAAAATTAAAGGAAGAAAATAACATATTTTCATTAGTGAGTATGGTTTTTTAAAACTCTCTCCTATTGAATTTATCCAGATCAAGTCTTATAAATTTCAAAAATTTTTTTTTTAAAAAAATAAGATCAACATCAAATAATATACATAATACATAAATAAATTACATTTTTAACATAGATTATATAATAAAATATTAGCTGTAAAAATTGTTTTTCTCACTTTTTGCTATAACAAAATAATTTTTGAAGATAAAATCGGCATGAGTAATAACAATTTGCCTCGATTGATATAACGATTATTAATTATTCCTACCTTCCTATCCTTTATAAATAATTTTACTGGCTGTTAGAGGCCTCATTGTGCTTACTGTAAAAGAGAACGTGTTTAACTAGCTGTATGCGACAATCTCCCAGCACCTGGTATTAACAGAACGTGTTATAACCACGTGCCAGGGAAGTGTACCGATTAATTATACACTCCCATCTGCTTTGCTGATAAGATATATGCGCCGCATTGTCGTCATACTTCGTATAAAATATTGAAATAAAATGATTCACTATTTCTAGCAATTAATACATTATTCAATATTTTCAAACATTCTTTGACTAAAATAAAGACGAATTTTGCGTACTTATGTTTTTGCTTCAAGGTTAAGAAGTGAATATTTTCAACCACTGAGAGTGATAAAAAATAATTATATTGCACAGCAATAATTAGAATTTCTGATTTAAAAAGCAACTATTGTAACACATTTATTTTCTAGTCATAATATGAGGAGGGAACAGGGGATTTTTATGCAAACGACAAGTGATGAAGTAAGTTTTGTTTTTTTTAAAACTAATTTCAAAACTTAAAACATCTATATAAAGTACAATAACATTGCTATCCAGTGTGCAAAAAAATTAAATATACGAACCACCCTAAATTGTTTTTGATCTAATTATCGGATTTTCTCGTACTAAGACTTAATTTTAATGGTTTGAAGAGGTATCCTCAAATATGCTTATTAGTGTAGACAATATTTTTGGTTGGGAAACCAAATGCACAAACACACTTTCTTTGAATTATTATACCTTTTTTCGACTGATTTAGATTCCTAACCTTCAAAATATAGTGCATAGCCACAACAAAATTCTTGAAATTCGATATCTCGGAAACTATTCAGCTGATTTCGTTTAAGTTTTGTCTTTCAAGTTATAAAATTACATTCCTTTAATTTTTATGCCTTACAATTGAAAATTGTTTCGTTTATTATTATAATAAAATAAATAAAAGTAATAAAAAAGAGCTGAAAAATTATTTTTGAATGAAATTATCTTTGGATAAATGAACTTTATAACTGAGTGCAAATTTTTTTTCAATTCTCTCAAAAAGTTCTGGAGATATGGCAAAATAAGCAAAAAGTAAAATTAATATAAGGGTGATTTCACAATATTGTGCAAGTTGCGAACATGACATTTACAAAGTTTGATTACTCATAATTAAATGAAAANAAGAGCAGAAATTTATTTTCTTTTTATCTGTTCGTTATTTAAGCTACTTCACGTGTAATAGCTAGTAATAACATACTAGCTCTTTGAATATCTGAATTTTTGTAGACCCCTGATTATAACACAATATAATTATTAAATAATAATTTGTATAAAACTCACTTTAAAAGCTAATAATGAAAGAAATTATTGGGATCAAATAAAAAATCATTTTTAGTAATTTTTGAAAAACCCTATTTATTTTAACCCTTTTAAAAACATTTCAGCTTTTTCTGATGTAATAACCAACTACGATGTTTAAATGTAACTGTAATAAAATTTAACAGTTATGTACATGAATTACTAATTTCTGAGTTTATTGCCTTTGAATTTGTTTCCAAAAATAAATATTAAAAAAATCTCTCTACTTACTAGCATTTTATTAAAAAGAAAGCAAAATCTAATATATAATAAAATAAAAATATTTTAAAATATATTGAACAGAACTTAAAGATTCTAATGTATATGAAAAAAGGATGTACAGAATGGAACAATAACACAATAAATGCAAAAATTAATCTATGAGAAATACAGAAAAAAACAAGTGCATGGTTCGAAATTTTGGAGATTGTTTAACTATTGTTATATTAACGTTCAAATTTGCCTAAACCATAACATGCTTAAATTAATTGATTTAATTTAATTAATGCTTAAATAATTAATTTAAAAATAGTAATTATTCTAATTCTTAATTTTTCTTTTGCATTTCTTGATTCCAAACTTGAGATTAATACACTCATTACAGAGTCAAGCTAAAATTCTGCAGTTTTTTTATTAGTTTATTTCACAAGTAAGATGTATGGCTTTATGCAAACTTAAAAAGATATTTGTGATCAAAATTTGAATACAGAAGTATTGTACATAAATACTACTAATTTTAAAAGT